CACCAGCTTCAAATTGGGCAGGATGTCAAAGCGGACTTAGGTTACTGATTGTTGGAGCTGGTCGGAGCTCAAAGCTTTCTTTGAGGTTGTGGTATGATGACTTCATTCTCGTAATATCACAAGTTAATTCTCATAATTTTACGACTTTATTTGCAAAATAGGAGAAAAAAATGTCTATCCTGGCCCTAATACTCTGTTGTAGCTCCGCTCCAGTTCTTTCCGACTTTATTTAAATTCATGTTTGACTTAAAACCTAGGCCAATGCCTACGCTGTAGTCAGTGCCTACATCTGCTTTGTTTTAACTTTACCACGGAATCGCTGAGACGAGGATTGCATATTGTGTTATTAAAAAGTGGGATAAAATATCATAAAAACATACACTATTTAAACTTAATACAGAGTGGGTTTACATAAAGTGATCTTTGTGGTAAGAGCCTGTTTTTGTAAAATGGATTGCATACATGCATTATATGCTATTATCTCATTTGCAGTGGGATGCGAAGTGAACTTTTTTAATATAGTCTAGCAAAATAAATTATTTATGAAATAGTAAACAACATGAATGGAGCGAGGTGTTACGTTCATAATTGGGCAACAGTGTGATAATTTAACAGCCAGTTAAATAAGACAATACACATGTATCGTTCACATCATTTAATCAAAGGCTGTGTGTCCTAGGGCCCTGGTATAATAACTGGAAAGGGTAAATGTCAGAAATTGCCTTCTCCTGAAAATTTGGGCAAGTGTGGAGCGATTTCGCCGGAGCAGCAGGAAAATAAAGGTGAACGCGGAAAGGATTTTGAATGGAGCGTCCTGGTGCTACTTTGAGCGGCGGAGCGAATGAGGGAATATCCTCCTGAGCGGGGAGTGGGAATTGCGCGGCACTCCGCTCCTTTCACATGCTCTGAGCTGCAGAGTACTTTTCAGAAATAATCATGATAAAAAATTTCCAAAAAAACAATCCACTGGACTTGATTTCCAAGTTTGAAGACGTTTTGCTTCCCATCCAGGAAGCTTTTTTTATAATTCAAAATGTCAGAACTAGCGTTGAGCTTGATGCTTTATATAGTAGCCCAAAAACTTGTTTTGGCTTAGAAAACATGTAAATTGAACCAGGGTCCGCCCCTTAGGAATTGGGAGTTGTTTTGGTTTCTTTGTTAGCCTGAAATACACAATACTAGGCTATGCCTCTGAAAGGGGGGGGGTCGTTAGGGGCAATTATTGGCTTGGCCCCCCGGGCAGGATGTTTTCTTCCCTGCATGGGGGTAGGGGGTTGAAATGTTAGCGGTCATTTCAACTGGGTATCGGGTATTGCAGGCTAACACAGAACCCAACGCGACTCCCCATTCCTAAGGTTTGTTCTTCTGGTTTAATTTGCATGTTTTCTAAAACAGCATTGAGGTCAATGCTAATTCTGACATTTTGAATTGAAAAAGCTTCCTGGATAGGAAGCGAAACATCTTCCAACTTGGGAACAAAGTCCAGTGGATTGTTTTTCTTTTTACTTTTATGGAATGACTATGACCTGGACAACTGAGAATCTTCACCAGCATGATAGAGAAAGGAACATTTTATTTTTAGATTTGACCTCATCAATGTCTCACCATCATTAGTAGGATAAGGGTTGTCAAAGGGAGTCATTTCTATAATCTCAGTGTGTGTCCTCAGCAGCTCAGTCAGCTCCTTCAGTTGTTCGTGCTCTGAATCGCAGTCGATAAAGATCTCAAAATCCGAATCTCTCCGTTTGGACTTCCGAGACTCAATATGAACCAGATGGACATGTTTTTCCTTCAACGACATGGTCAAAGAACACAAACAAGGGTGGAAGACAATCGAGTTAGATGTTTGCTTTAGCACAAAGAGAACAGTTTTATCTGAAACCATTTAATGTAATGCTTGTAAAAAGTTTAACAAAATATCTACCTGGAAAACCTTCAGAGCCTTGATAAGATCCCCCACTTCATTTTTCAGGGTGAATATAATAGTTGCAGCTCTCTTTCTGGAGTTCCTTGGCACTGCAGTGGTGAGGCTCTGGACGCTCTGATGATCATTAGCTCCATTGATCACTAGCTTGTCCTTTAATGTGGAAATATATTTAACAATATTGTCATCTTCAGATATTGTCTTTTAGTTTAATAAACTGTGAATATAAACTAGTTTTGTTTCGTTGGATACATTATGTAAGAGCTTCAGTTATTGACAGATTTTTTAATGACCACAGATAAAACTGTACTCATAACAAAGCTTCTGCCTGAAAGCGAGACATTCTTCCTGTTTTTGCAGGAATTGTCCCACAGAGGAAGAATTTGGGGAATTTGGGGAAAATTGTCATGATCGCAGCCCTGGTAGCTAATCTTATTTCTAATTGCCGTTCCCTCCCTGCTCTCTTATTATCATTTATCTTATTCACCTGCACCCTCTGCTATGTATACCATTCAGCCCAGCTATCGGGGCCAGATCATTATTCGTCTATTCTTTGTTTATTCGTGTTATGTTTTCGTGTCAGTTATCTATGTTTGTTTCGTGAGATTTAAGTTCCTGGTTCATGTCCTGAGTCTTGGAGGCCAGTGGATTGAGAGTTTGGTATTTGTCTCCTGGTCGTTTCCCGGCTTTTCTCTGCGAAGCACTCAGGGTTTTGGCTCGGAGTGCGGGAGGAGCTTGGATTCTGTTCCTTCTCCACGGAGCCGTCAGAGTTTTGGCTCGGAACACAGGGTAGGTCCGTTTTAATTTCGTTAAGCCTGGCTCCAAGGTGGAGATCAGTTTAAAGTTCAGCATTTATCTTGGTACCAAATCTTGTCTCTGTCCCTCTGAACCACTTAGACCCCTGTCTCCATCTGAGCGTGTCTGTCTGAGCACGCTGCTGGACTCTTAGAAGCTTGAACCTTACGGATTGCTCAGTGGATTCCTGGAACCCTGGTTCTGTCTCTTCTTGTTTGGATCCGAACCCCTGGTCAGGCTACAGACTCCTAGATCTCGGAACTGTCCGGTTCTGAACTGGTTCTCCTACCTGGATCGGTCTCCTACCTGCTCACTGGGGGTACTGCATCTGGGACACTTTGAACGGCTCTAAGCCACACCTCGTTTGGCGGTCCATCAGCAGGATCCTGCCTTCCTCAGAGAGGATAGACTGAACTGTTAAACCAGAGTGCCACTGATTGGTTGCGCCCCACCCCTCTGCAGCCACTGCGGTCCACTTATCCTGAGCAGTCCGCATTTCTGTTCTCTTCTGTCTTATTATTTCTTTGTCATTAAACGTTTTGAAACCTCCCATTGTCTGACTCGCCTTGAATACTGGGTCCATCTGTCCGAAAAATATCAGAACTGCTCTTTCAGCCTGATCAATGATCGTACTGTCCAATTGGGTGGCCACAACCATTTAGTCTGTTTGTGTTTGGAAGTCCCACATGATCTTAGCTCTGTCATTCCTCACCGCCTTGGAAGGTGGCTTCCATTCTGACCTGGAGGTCTCCAGTTTGAATTTTGCACAGCTTTGTCCTCCCACCTGCAGCACAGACATGGGCAGCTCCAGCCCCTCTCCCCCGTTGTGCTGCTTATTCTGCCTGGCAGGCTTCTCTGAGCCACTACTGTCCTCCTTCAGCCTCCCATAGTTAGCCTCTAGAGGCTGGCTATAGCCAGCTGCCATCCGTTGCTCTGTCTGCCCAGTGGACTTCTGCAATCTACTGCTGTCTTGCTTTGACCAACCCCAGTTAGCTTCTATAACTAGCACCGGCCAGCCGTAGCCTCTCTGTATCGCTGGTTGGACTCCTCTGACCTCCTGCTCTGGTCCCTTAGCTACAGAGGGGGGCACAGCTGGCTACCTTGTCCCAGTTCTGATGCCCTCTCTGTCAGTGCCTAACACTGATATCATGCTGCTGCTTAATGAGCTCTAGGTTTCAGTGATTACATGTCTACTGCCCAAAGGTCTCCCCAGGTTCAGTCTGTCAGTTTGGACTGGTTCAGACTTGTCCAGACAATGCACACATGGGGTTTCCCAATACAACCCTTACTTTCAACCACTATCCTCACCCAAAATCCACACACTGAAATTGGAGCCACAACTGTTTCTCTCCCCCAACTGGATCTCTCCCCCATCCAGGGATGTCTGGCTTAAGGCCGCCCTGATCCGTCGCTGTACTCCTTCCATCTCCCACAGTCAGATGTAATAATTGCATTTACTCAGTTGCATTTACTTGAAAAACTTTTTTTTTTTTACGTGCATTTAGGAGTAGTTTACATTACTCTTTATGTTTACTTAAAAATTATGATAAAATACCAGTACTCCTATTTGAGTAACATTTCTGGCTACTCCATCCATTGCCAGTAACTTCACTTAATGAAAACAAGCTTGATCTAAACAAATATGCACCAAAGAGAGACACACTTTCATAGTTTTATACTCAAGGCTTACCTGTGAAAATTGTTTTTTCCATCTGCTGAGTCTGCCGTGTCATTTAGAGGTTGAGTGATATTACAGTAAACAGCATTCTTTACCTTAACCTGTTCTTACATACTGTAACTATTCATTTTATAAATTTTATATCTCAAATTTTATTAAATCTGTTGCTATGATCATTTTAAATTTCTTTAAAGCATAATTGTTACTTTTACTTAAGACAAGACAAGCCATATTATAAAAGTACTTTTTAACCAACAATCCAAACAAATATGAATATTATTGCTTAGAGCATGATAGATCAAAAAAACTGGCAGACCTGACCATAAAAACCATAAGACTAAACCGACTGCAAGTTGCTGAATAAACTGAATAAAACCTCTTAGTTCTAGTAAGGAGCAAACTAAGGAATTAGTTTTATATCAAAGTCATCAGGACTAAGAAACAAACTTTAGACACATTCAAAATTTTCTAGAAGCTACCTTTCTGACTTTAGCTCTTACTGTGTTCTCCGTATTCAACTACGTATCATCAAAGCAAGATTTAATGATCCATCATTGAATGATCCCGTTCTTAACCCTTGGTTTTTGGTTGTGGCGCTAAATATGTTCAGTTTTCGTTAATGTTGAAATAATGCAAACTGTCCTTCAGATATCTGATGATTACGGCAGAAGCATCATACAAGATATTTGCATATTTTAGGTATATCTGAAAAAAAACTGAACTTTCAAATAATCTTTTCAGTAAATTTATGGTAATTAAAGATAAGTCAAGTCTATAAAAAATATTTCAGTGAGTTAAAAGCTTAAATCAAAAGAAATCCTGAAGTGATCAAGCGGAAAATAAAACAAGTTTGAGAAAAAATACAATAAACTTCCACTTCATCATTTTTGATTAGCTTTTCCTAAAAATGTACATTGAGGCGTCAATTACAGTTTTTTTGGATACTCACCATATCGTCTGCTTTTTTCTCAGAATCAATTGACTTTCCTTTATTTGGCCCCGGTTCTTCTGACTTCTTGGCTTTTACCACAACCTCCGGATCAGTTGACATTTTTATGATGTATCAGGATAGAGCAGTAAAGTTCTTTTAACTCGGCAGAGCTGAGCTGGAAACCCCACACCAGAGACTGGACGTTGAGTAGTAGAGTCAGAAAGAACAAAATGAGGGTTGTATTTATGAGTCTGCAGGGTGGGGAGGGTTCAGGAAAGAGAGATGGAGAGGTTCAATTTGAACATGAGGGAAATTAGAGCAAGCCTGATTAACATGGCCTGCAAACCACCACTGCTTCAGTAAAGACTGCTGTGCTTCAGATTGAATTTTCCGAAGCTACGACATGTTTCAAAAGTTATAGGCTTTGCCTACAATAAGTGGCACTGTAATAAACTAATGATGAATAATAAAAGTAAGAATTTTCATAGTACCAATTCAAAACTCAATCAGGTCATACAGACTGAATGAAGTTTTCAATCCATGAAAAACCAGCTGATTGCATCCAGTCATTGATTTTTTTTTTATCTTCCTGGATGAGGATGTGGAAACAGTGGAGAGGAAAAACTCCCTTTTAACTGGAAGAAACCTCCAGCAGAGCCAGAACCAGGCTCAGTGTGAGAGGCCACCTGCAGACGCCAACTGGAGTTCAATGACAAAGAAGTAGACATAGAAAACGAAAAGAGAGGCACTGATCTATAAATACTTTCTATGTTAGAAAAGCTAACAATAAACTAGTTCCACAGGTGGGTCTGTCTGGGGAAGAAGCAGTTACTCAGACGAGCTCTGAGCCAGTTTTCTTGTCAACGGAAGAAAGAAAGAACATCTACTTAGTCACAGTAAAAGCTGAGCCCATATCTATGTCTAGGAAAGAAATAGAACTAAACACTGAAAAACAGCCCCAACGGTATCCTCTGTAATCAAAGGTGTTGATAATGGCAGCAGCGAAGGATGGTATCACAGCCAAACAGGAACAGACCTGATGAAGCTACTATGATGATAAAAAGCAAAGATAGCATGAGATAGTGAGAGGTTGAATGAACAAATACTGCAGAATGAAAAAATCAAGATGGAATTAAGCAGAATATGGAATAGAAGTCCCTACGCCCTCTGGCAGTCTAAGCCTATAGCCCTAACCCTAACCCTAGAACTAGCGTTGCAACAATGCCAATTTTTTGGCCCCAATACGATACCCGATACATGGCTGTGCAGTATTGGCCAATACCGATACCATACTGAAACCATCTGGTTGAAATTGATGTGTGTGTGTGTATATGAAGAACTGCACTTGGATGTGAAATAATTGCCATCATGGCTTTGTCAAGTTGCTGCCTACCTTTGTGAAGCAGGAAAAAGACTAATACAAAGTGAATCCAGTAGAATTTTTTATTGCCTACCTGGAATGGGTGACAATAGTTGAATAAACTTTTGGCTCTCAAAATGGTACCCATCTCCTATTTGCTGGTACTCGCCGATACCGATACCACCATTTTAGTGCTGGATCGGGGCCCCGCCCGATATCGTATCGGTGCAACACTAGTTAGAACCAGCATTTTTTTTGTCAGTGGGAAGGGAGCATAATGCTGATTTTTAGTGGGTAAACCCATGTGTAAATCCTGCATTAACCTGCTGATTTCAGTTGAAAAGAGGCATTGGAGTCTGAGGGACAATGGTATGGCATCAAGAAGCTTGCAATATATTCCACAGCATGGCCATGTTGTGCCCTTAAATTTAAGATAAACATTAAAAAATGTATAGGGAGAAGAGAAGAGCCAAAAGAGATTTAGATTTATTGAGACAGGTAAAAAGGCTTTTATCAATTTGTTTTGCCACCAAAGATCTATGCTTTGAAACATTTCTTTAATGTTAAAAGCAATCCCTAGTAGCTTTCTAAATGATGCTGAAAGGATAAAGAAATATAGAAAATGAAACCTGTTTTTCATATAGAGGTTTGAAAAGAGGATTCCAGAAAAGTTAGATGTGTCCTAATAGCAAATAAATCTACTGTAGATACTAGAAACTTTGGTCCACCCAGAGAGTGGTGCCTTTGCAGCCATTACCTTAAAGCAGTGTGTATATTAGGAAATAAAAATTGCTTGACCCCAAACCAGTCACTGGCCACATCTAGAGTCACCAGGCCCGTACTAGTATTCTGTGACACCAGGTATTTGCCTGGTGGGCCAGTCCTAATTTCAGCGTGCAAGGGCCGGCCCTCCTTTGATCACACCGCCAACACTCTCCGGCTGAAGCACCTACCTGTGACAGTAAATAACTCAAGGAACTCAAGAAGTAATACAATGTTAACTACCTTAATTGTGAATGCAGTGTATATAGCCCTTCCTTGTCATGCACATCCCTGTGACGGTTGATCAATATGTTAACATTAATGCTGACAAAAGCAGAATTCTTGCTCTTTTCAGATCTATTTTCTGCGTCTTATGGGGCGGGCGTTAAGGTATGCAGCTCTGTAAGTGATTTAGGAGTCTCATATGAAGATCCACTGCTCAAGCAGTTTAATGTGTTTAATGTAGAACATTAACCGAGTGGGACAACATAGATGAATAAATATGTGCAGATTTATTAGCAATGGATGATTTAGTCTGATTTCACAGGTTTTCATTGAAACTAAAGATGTTTTCTCAATAATTTTCCAGTTGGTGCAGTGTAATAAGAGAAGAATGACCTTGAACTGGTTCTGGCTCATTGTCACCCCTATGATAATGTTCTGACTTGGCCACTGCTCTAAAACACTGCTCTACACAATTCACTGTTGGAGTGGGAAAAAAAATGAAGTTCATTTTATTTGCATGTTTTCTGGCCCAGTGGTTTATTTTACTTAACTAGAAGCAGGCAGAGACTAGCCTGACGTAGTCCTACTTAATTCTAGTCAGAATATGAGTCTGATACTGCTCCATAGAGCTGTGATTATGGGGCGTGTTTCGAACGAACCAGGAAAAAAAATGCCTCTGCACTCAATTGGATAGACCTACAACCAATAAGAGCAACGGAGTGCGAGACGTATGTTAAACTTCCCGACCTCAAACGTACAACGTTACCTACTATGTTTACAACATGGGATTAATATCACGACATTGCGAGTTATTTACTAAATCAGACAGTCAGATGATCTGTTACCATTTGTAAGTTAGATGAACTTCGTCCACGACGATACCCATAACGTTGGCTTGAAAACCATCAGAGCCTAGCATGTCCCTCCACTTGTTGTTCAGTAGCCAGGATTCCGGGCTTCCGAAAAGGAGCTGGCAACGACCGCTGGCTATATCCACCTCATTGTTCACGCCGAGTTGCATCGCCGTTTGGTGACGCGGTTGATTACGTTCCTTTTGATCGTCTGTCCATCATCGTATAAAGCCCGCCCTGACTATTTGATTGGCCCGCCAGATATTGGGCAAGCATACTTGCGCTACTATTGAGCAATGCCAGACCGAACTTCCCGACCTCAAACGTTGTGGGCGGGACTAAGTTCGGAATGGCACCCAGGCTAGGCAGAGACCCCAACTGGTTTGGAAATGTAATGATACACTTGAAGCTGGTAAAGACTAGTTACTCTTTGAAAGGAGGAGACATATTTGTGAAGGTGTGGTCAGCGTCTACTCGTTTAAATGAAGAGGAGGATAATTGAAAGGGTACAAAATACGTTATTATTGTTACATTTTGTGCCCCTGTACCCTGCCTCTAACCCATAGACTGCTGGTGATAGGCACTGGTTCTTGTTTGATCCTGACAGATTAAGCAGGAGTAGATTGATGAATGGATGGATGTTACATTTTGTTTATATGCAGATAATTTGTTACCCCTATTTTTTAAGTTAAATATTATGAAACTTCAGATAACGACACCAGAGTGCGTAAAAATAATGCGGCTGGTCCTCTAACAGTAGTCTGTCCATCCCTATACACCTGATAAGACTTGAGTCTTTTGTCGAAGATGAGTTATTGCTTTCTTTTAGTGACTTTCATGCAGCTGGAAGTATAGAGATATGTTTCTAGAAACTCTTGTTCAATAGAAGAACTGTTGATTCTATTAAATCAGTGTCTGATTGTCCCATCTGCAGCCATATCATTGCTATAACTGACTCCCTCACAGATACTACCCCCAGCACACCTGTAAACAAACCAATCACTCATTCAGCTTCAGTGTACTCTGCTGCTATGAGCACATTTCCACCTCAGACGAACAGTTCATCTATGATGAGTGATTTTACTCAGATTAGATTTGGACCAGACCAGAAGTCTGTCTCTGTTTTTTTTTTTTTGTTCATTTGCCTGAGACAGCTGGTCGTCTTTAAAAGAATCTGCATGAGACCTTGTACACCTAAACACATTTGCAGCCGGATCTGAGCCTCCCTAACAATCTGGGATGAAACCAGGTGATGCAGTACTTCTGGCTGGTTAACTGCCAGGTTTTCTGGGCGGAGAGTCGGAGCGGTGCGGCCTATTTTAGTAAGCTTAATTAAAAGCAGGGTGATCCATCTAGTCTCTGCTGATGTAATTAGAGCCTCCGTGCCTAAGGGTGGTATTGCTTTCTTTTCCTGTGTTGTCTCTGTTCAGGGTCATCCTGGAACCACATGCTTGTTTTCAGAGGTTTATTCTGTTATGCGTTGGTCTTACTAGCCTCACACAGCCATGAAGAAATCAATCATGTGGATAACACATGTTGATTCTAATTACCTCTATGGAGAAATGTATGCTATTGAGTTTTATACTAAGGATAAATGAAGACACAATTTAAAAGAATAAAAAGTAAAAGTCATAAACTTTTTAGTGATGTGGTGATAAAATGTTCATAGGGGTGTCAAAGCACTATAGGGGTGGGTGAAAACCAACAGGGGCCAGACACCAGTTCATAGTCAATCTACACAGTACCAACAAAGAAATTAAAAAGAAATACATGTAAAAACAAAATAATCTTTCTAAAGCCTCTGTTAATACATAAAAGCATATTTACACGTCCATGCTTTCAAAATTACAGCTTCTAGTTGCACTCTTTTAGACATAAGAAACAAGATAATGACAAGTCCATTATGAGAATATCATTAGTGACTTTCACCAGAGTTGTTTCAGTGCTATGATGAGCTCTAAAACCAGAAACCTTCAAAAAGTTCACTATTGTGTAAAGGCTGATTTATACTCAGAAACCAGGTCATCTGTGCGTGTGTCGCAGCGAATGCAAATGTGCCCCCGCCCCTTCCACAGACACTCTGGTGCACCTTTCCAAAATTGTAGGTGACCACAGACAGTGCTGCAGACAGGAGGCCTCTGATTGGTCAAATCTACATCTGCTCTACTCTATGCGTATTTCCTTTTTGGTACCTTACCGGCTTGTTTTGTTTGTATGACCGCCATTGGGGTAGAAGATGAACCAGCTAGAAGAACGAGGTGCGCAAGAACGCTGAGACCCTTTTCCCACCTGGATCCCCGCTCTTTTTCCTCCTCATGTCTCTCCGTTATTGCACAAACTTGCCTCCACTTCCTCACCGCCTCGGCCATATCTAGACCCACAGCTAGTTCCTTATTGTCCCTCTTGCATTGTGGTGTGTAACAACATAGCGCAGACCATGCTTCAATATTGGGCATAAATCAAAAATATCTGCGACAAGCTCACTGCTACACACTGCTGGTGGAGGATAACCAGCCTTTAAGTGGTCACACACTTGATTGGCAACTATTTTCTCAAAAATATTAGATCAGAAAGGAAGATTGGATATAGGTCTATAATTGACCAAGTCATCTGGGCCTAGAGATAGTTTTGTTTGTAATGGATTAATTACAGCACCCTTAAAAGCCTGAGGTACATACCCCTGTAACAGGGATAGATTAATCACATTTAAAATGAAGGAGGAGATCAGAGGGAATACTTCCTTAAAACAACAATAAGTAACTTTTCAACCTTCATAAAATATTTTCACAACTTTTGTGATTATATGTCAACTTACAACTAGTTGAATGACACCTCTGTCTTGGCCCAAGGGGGTCTGTTTCATCTGCACTAAGCAACTGCACTGAGCAACTGCACTATGTGGTGCATTAATACGGGACAAAACTTAAGTTAAACGTTTATTTTCAACATCGTCGTTATTGTTTCACTACAGTTGGATTCATTACCTCAGTACTATTCATCACCCAGAGACAATCGAAACAGACATGTTGTTCAATCCAATTCCAGGTGACTGGAAGATCAGGATTTTACCGCTCTATGCGCTGGTCCTCCAGGGAAATGCTGCCTTCCTTCAGACCAAACAATATAGCTTCTGTAAACTGGGTAGAGCCAAATTTGATCAAAACTGAAAGTTTGTTATTACATCTATTAAGAAAATCAGAGATTAGAGCAAAGTTTCAACTTTCAATTTACAAAGCACGTTATTTGCTTGCAGCAATAATGGATCAAAATTCGCTCCAGACTAGTAGGTCCCAAACCACACTGAATTTCTGAAATGTGTCAGTCATTTCTCAGTTTTAATAGGAAGCATTCCTACCATCTAGGTCTCGAACTTACTTAGGTGGTGACTCAGATGTCCGCATATTTAAAAGACATCTCTACACTATGATCATATCATGGGACACACAGGGTATAATATTTCTACCCATATTGTGCAAAATATTGGAGGAGCCAAATAATTCAATCTCAGAATTGGGATGCAGGTTTACTTTAAATGCATTGGAGTTTTACTTAAAGTTCAAATCCCAGGAATTATGAACCTCACAGTATTTTTAAAATTGCTGACAGAATGCAATCTGATCTCTTAAATGTTTCATATACAGGAGAATTTTGGGATCTTATTTGACCTCCGAGTTATATAATCTATGTACGACCTTAAACAGAATTGGTTGTAATCTAGCATTAGACTAGCATTAATCTAGCATGAGCTAGTTTGTATCCATGTTTCACTTTCAATCATTCATATCTTTGAATTTAAAAGAAGGATGTGAACGTTTTTTGGAGAAAGCACAAACTAATTTCCTAATCAACGATGATGAAATCTGTAAGAACCTTTACTTAAGAAATGTCTTTTGACCCAGATGACTTGGTCAATTATAGACCTATATCCAATCTTCCTTTCTTATCTAAAATTCTTGAGGAATCACTTGCTAAACAAGTGTGCGATCACATACACCATAATGAACTTTTTGAAGAGTTTCAGTCTGGCTTTAGAGCTCATCATAGCACTGAAACAGCTCTGGTGAAAGTCACTAATGATATTCTCATGGCCTCAGATTATGGACTTGTATCTGTGCTCGTCCTGTTGGATCTCAGTGCTGCATTTGATACAGTTGACCATAATATTCTTTTAGAAAGACTTGAATATTTTGTAGGAATTAAAGGTACAGCACTAGACTGGTTTAAATCTTATCTATCTGATTGATTTCAGTTTGTTCACGTTAATGACTGATCTTCCTCATGCTCAAAGGTTACCTGTGGAGTACCACAGGGATCAGTGCTAGGACCAATTCTCTTTACTATATATATGCTCCCAATCGGTAGAATTATGGGACAGCATGGGATTAATTTTCTCTGTTATGCTGATGATACTCAGCTATATCTGAGAGGTTTCTTCCTGTTAAAGGGGAGTTTTTCCTCTCCACTGTCACTTCAAGCATGCTTGGTAAAAAAAAATGACACTTTATTAAAAATGTCAACAACTTTCTGTCATGGATATGAATAAAGAAATTATACATTTTATTTTTTTTCAAAAGTTATTAGACATTTAGGGCTGTAAGAGGGTTTTGTGAAATTATAAAAGGTTGCAGTTTCGTTTTGACCAAATAATGGTTTTAAGAGTAACTTTGTTAAGTTTTCTATTAAAAAGGTCTTTTGGTGTATTTTAATCTTTTCCCCGTTTTTTTTTTCAGAATTATATATATATTGCACAGATTTTATATTTTTAAATTTAACTACTGTGTAGTCTGCATAATTTTCGCCTATTTATATGGTCAGTACAGTTCTGCACTGCAAGTGCAATAACGCAAGTCAACGTGCTGATGAAGATTCTCAGTCATCCAGGTCATAGTCATTTATTTTCATAATTTTATGACTTCATTCTCGTAATGTTATGCCTTTATTCTTGGAATTTCATTACTATTCTCGCTGCGACTTTATTCTCGTAATTTAACAACTTTATTCTCTTAATGTTACAACTTTATTCTCGTAATTTTATTACTTTTCTCTTAATGTTACGACTTTATTCTCTTAATTTTACGACTTTATGCCCGTAATGTTACAACTTTATTGTCTTAATTTTCTGACTATTCTCATTGTGACTTTTTTCTTGTAATTTTACGACTTAATTCTCGTAATGTTGCGACTTTAGTCTCGTAACTAATGGCTTTATTGATGTAATTTTACGTCTTTATTCTCTTAATGTTGCGACTTTATTCTCTTAACTTACGACTTTATTCACGTAATTCTATGACTATATTCTCTTAACTTACGACTTTATTCAAGTAATTCTATGACTTTATTCTCTTAATTTACGACTTTATTCACTTAATTCTATGACTTTATTCTCGTAACTTACGACATTATTCTCGTAATTTTACAACTTTATTCTCATAATATTACAAATTTATTCTCTTAATTTTATGACAATTTTTGTTGTGACTTTTTTCCGTAAATTACAACTTTATTCCCACAATTTATGACTTAAGTCTCGTAATGTTATGCCTTTATTCTTGTAAATTTATGACTATTGTCGTTGCGCCTTTATTCTCGTAATTTAACAACTTTTTTCTAGTAATTTTATGACTTTATTCATGTAATTTTCTGACGTTCTTCTCGTAATTTTCCGACTTTATTATTGAAAAAAAAAACCAAATCTCTTGCCTGGCCCTAATACTCGTAATTTTAATAGTAAAAGACGATAAAAAATAAGATTTGAGAAAACACAACTTACTCTTAAAAAGTTTTTTTTTTTTTTTTTTTTTTTTTTTTAGATTCATCTTTGCCTTTTTATTTCAGTTAAAAAACCTATTTTTGTTTTTTCAGATGTCAAAAACTTGCAGTAATGAAACTAGATTTCCTCCGTGCTGGAGTCTGGTCAACCTGCTACTCTTTTGAACGCAGACGGTCGGAGCGCAGCAGCCGCGCGCGGGGTGTTTCCTGCGCTAAAGGGACGCAGCCGCGCGCGGGGTGTTTCCTGCGCTAAAGGGACGCAGCCGCAGTCCGTCTGGTTCCTGTAGAGCAGCTCCTGCTCAGACTGAAGTTAACTGAACCAAAACAACTTGTTAGAAACTTGCTTCCTGTTGCTGAGGTGTCATTATCAGTCACACAGACAGCTCGCATCGACACGGAGTGGACAAAATGCCCACGGTCTCTAAAGGAGATGGAATGCGTGGACTTGCCGTGTTCATCTCAGACATCAGGAACTGTGAGTTTGTTTTCAACCTGAAGCTAACCCACAGCAGCCGCTGTAACGGCGGCGGCGGACTCCGGCGGCTCGGTGTATCTACCGGGGTCATTAGAGCAGGTGTTAGTAGGGGGGGAGACTAATTGCTGGACTGTGTGTTTGTTCCAACAGCGTTAGTTAGCCGTTAGCTCCCAGCGGCTAATGTTGCGTTCAGGGCGTGAACCGAACCGCTCCCTGCAGATAAAAACTGGGGAATTTCTCGGGAAACTAAAGTTACTAGTTTAAAGTCAGGGTGTTTCATCAGGAGTGTCTACCTCATAGTTTTCTGTTAAAAATTGATGTCCTGTAAAGAAGTTTTAACAGAAAAGTAATTAAAAGTTTCCTCCTCATCTCCTAAGACATCAGTTAAACCTTCTCATCTCTGTTTATTCTCTGGATTGCTGATTACCCGTTGTAGGTGTGGGGTTGAAGTGAAGCCACTGGCCGCCATATTGGTACTCCCTAGATAGACCGGTCGCAATGTAAACAATCTGTGCGCTACAGCATCGAACAACGATGATGTTCTCATTTTCAGGGGGAGTTAAGACTTTTAAAAGAAAGATAAATTCATCACTTTGACACTCACTGGCTGTTTCATAGCATCAATAGATTACTTTAACTTATAATAAATATATAGGCACATCACATTGCATAGTCAGTATCAAGTCTATAAGTCATGTAATATAACACATTATATAAATCCATCACAATAACGTTAAGTTGTTAATAAAGCGTAACATGAAAGGGCTGCTTAGTGGAGCAGTGGGTAGCACCTCTGCCTTGCAGCAAGAAGGTTCCAGGTTCTTTCTGCATGAAGTTTGCATGTTCTCCCTG